CTTAACATTGCAATTAAGAGCATAATAAGCCACCATTTCTATCACTTCTTTTAATCAACCAGTTCCCCCCAAAATCCTGGATAGTTTTAAGCATTTTTGCACATTGCTTTCAACTTGTTTTTAAAGTATACTTAATTATCCACCATTTTAAGAAAATAATTAATTCATAAACCTCCACTTTATTCTACTCTGCTAATCAAATTTACCTTAGTTTATCTCTGTCCTGTGAGAAAATCAGAAAATTGTGAATCATAACAGAACTGTGACTTAAATCCTCTCTTTTTTTTTTTTTTTTGAGGAAATCTTGGCCTATCAACATGGTTATTAAATGGAACACCTTTAAAGGATGAATAATCTAAGTATTGCAACAGGCTTTCCACAGAGTCACACTGAGTTAAGAGAAGGGTTAAGGAATGAGCTAACTGGACAGCTAGTGCATTTAGCTGGTGGTACAGACATGGTAGTTCCTCAGAGATGTTACAACAAGCCATAGGAAATGTAGGCACTGTTGAAAAATCGTTCTGTTTCAGTGCTGTGGCCTCGTGGCATGGAGGTTTACAGGAGCTTTGTCAGCAGTCTGTAATGAGAATGAAGAGATGGGAAAATGGTTATTGTTTAGGGAAATAAGAATGCTTTTTGCTGTATTTGAATAAAATTTGTTTTCAAAGTATTTCAGGTGTGGGTTATGAAGCATTATGCTGACTGGGTAACTAAATGTCAGGAAAGACAGTATTTTAAATTCACTGGGCGTACTGGGCACTGTACTCATGTGTCCTGGGTAGTAGGGTTGGGGCAGCAGTTCCTGCATAGGGAACTGATTTAATTAGATATGGGATATACCCGTATCAAATTGGGCCAGCACCTGCTGTGACGAGACTTTCTGAAGCAACAGTGTACCTAGAAGAGATGCCCAAGAGAGTGGGGCTCACTGGAAAGGGGCAACAAACCTGCTGAGGCCCATTAGAAATGTGCAGATGCCAAGAGGTCTGAAACACCTTACACTGCTTGAAGAGGAGTTGTAAGGCCTCATCTGACTGGGCCTTAATATGGGCCTGCAGAGCTCCTGCAATTGTATTATGCTTTCTTTTTTCCAGGTTAGATCTGTGACTCTGGCAGGCCTCGGGTGGTGCTGGTGAAATGTTAACTGGAGCTCAGCACACCGAGCGAAGGGAACAAAGCTGACTGTTCTGCCCTGTAGCCAAAATAAGAGAGAATGCCAGCAGATATTACCATGAATGGAGTCACACAAGTACAGTGACATGTTGTCCTGACTCAGTTTTGTGATGTCTATATTACAGTGTGCTAATACAGTGTGACAGGATGCCATGCTCCAAACCTGAAAGCACTGGGGGATTAGTCTGTGCCATTTTGCTCTCCCATTCAGTCGCAGAGCTGATCTTCCCCAAATGTAGCCATCCTTGTCTCACAGTGGTGTAAAATGGTTGTGAAATGCCACTGGTTCTGACTCAATGCAGTTTTTTCATCCCCTTCAACACCCCTTTAACTTCTTCTTGTAGAAAAATATGAACAGCCCAGAAACAAGACTGAAAATCTTATTTGAAGCTAAGACTAGATTTGAGTTAGGTTATTATTACTTTTCAGCACAGCCAGAAGATATAGAAATTACTTTGCTTTTGGTTTGATGAGGGGTTTTTTTGTCCTGTTTGTAACATCAGACACTTTCACCTAATAACTTGGCCTAGGATTTTTAAGAATACCATCATTTACTGCAGTAAATTCCCAATAGCTGGACCACTACCTTGTGTTCAGTGGGACAAGTCAGTCATTGCTCAACTAGGTGTTTCTCAAGCCATGTTCTATAACTTCTCCCCTTCCCCTTGACAAATAGAGATCAGGGTGATGCTGAAAAACCCTCATGAAGTGCTTGTACCAGCCAGGGAGCTAGTAAAACTTTGTTCCTCCAAGGCAGGAGAATGGGTGCTTACCCCTGCAGCCAGTTATTTTAGTTAATCCTCCACCTTGAAGACACAGAACAACTGTGATTATATTAAAGGAGGGGAATAGCTAGCAAAAAAATCTTTAATTGCTCCATGTTTTTTTCCAAACTAGTTTTAGATACACTAAGACCTGTTGGAAAACAACCCACAGTCCAAGTTGGGAGGCCGTAGCAGATGCTCCGCTTTACAGCAGTGAGGGCAAAGCTAAGATATTTAGGATACAGCTTGAAAAGGTTGCTAGCATAATTGTATGATTTGGTTGCTTCTGCTAATAGGCTTCTGAACTTGATTTTCCAGGAAAGTTGTGGCTGCTCTCTGCCTTATGTGCCTATGTAGTGCTACATAGATCTGTACGGTGGCTGAAGTAGTATTATTCTTTCTGTGTTTGTTTCAGAAGATGTTATTCCAAACAGTACCGTCAGTGCAACCACCTCTGCATCAACGTCAAAATCTGGTAAGAGTTCACGTCCACTGTTATCTGATATTCTGCAGCTCCCGTTGCCTTTTTAGCTTTCAGCTTTTCCAACTTCTGGGAGAACTTACGTGAATTATTTCGTGTAAGGTGATTGTAGAGCTATGTATTTCTCTGGGTCTCTTATAAAAAAGCTTGTTGAGAAGAAAGGATTAAGGGATCTTAGTAAGGAGAGGGTTAATTTGAGCAGGCTGCATTTTTTGTTTCAGGTGAAAAAGGCTGAAATTCTGTTTCCTATGCTTTCAAGGAGTGGTTCAAGTGTGATCAGATATTAAACAAATCAGGTAAAACTTACGGTTCAGGAAGTCATCTAATTGAGACTAATTTGGTAAACAGCATCAGTTAAGGGTTTGGGCAGCAGGGAGTAGCTGATTTCATGGGTGTAGAGTGATGGAAGAGGACATGGACTTTAATAGTAAATAAACAGTAAAATAATAGTAAAGAATTACACAGTATATGCCAATGTCTGGCTTCAATAAATAGAAAAGAATCCATGTGCATAAAGCTGTCATTTGCAAAAATTCTGCTGGTAACTTGTTGAAACTACTGATGTCCAGTTTCACTTTTGGGAGTAAAAGGGTGGCACCAGTGCCCTCAGTTTCAAGAGCTCCATTGTCTCTGTCTTTTATTTGTGATTGGCTTTACTAGATTAAATTTAAAGTCCTAAAACTATGAAGACTTAACACAGAAAATATTGTCTGCATAGGGTAAAAGTCTGTGATTCTGGTTCACATCTTCAACTGATACATTCAGTTCTCTTTACTTCGTAGCTTTGTAGTTAGGAAAAATCAATATTGGCCATATTTCATTCATGTGAGCTAAATACTGACTCCTCTATTAGCTTGAATATTGAGGACTTTAGCATTTAATAAGTGATGAGAGAAGAATACTTACACACAGGATTATATTTTTTGGTAACTAGAGATACTGAGTGTTTTGGAGCTGAAAGCATTGGTCTGATAATGATGTATACACTTGAAATGCTAGTAATGGAGGTGAATAAGATGCAGTCAGGTGAAGTATGCATATGTTACGTTTATTATAACAGAAGAATTAGTCCCTTTCAAACTGCATTGTGGGTTTTTTTTGTTTCAAAAACCCTGATGTTCATGTCTGTTTCAAAGACATTTAATAAAGTCCCAACACCTCACAGGGAATGAACTCCAAATGTTTCACTGGAATTTCTCTTGCAGCTTTTTGCCACAGAAGGGAAAGCAGTATTTTGTTTTTTGCCCATGAGAAAAGCCCATCAGAAAACCACTATGAGATTAAAGTACTTTGTGGGTGTGGAGCAAACTCCCAAGGAGGTCCATTCTTTGAGGCACTGCTATTCTAGATGAACAGCCAGCAAACCGAGAACAGAGGAAGAGAGTACAAGTTATATTTAAAAAGTTCTGGTGTGAACATTGCATTTAGAGGTACTCAAGTCATATGAAGGAAGATGACTTTTCATGTCATGATTTGTTCCTATTCTATCATGTTTCCCATCCATGGAAAGTGCTAGAAGAGGTAGTAGGACACATGCTGTGTTCTTGTCAGGGATTGAAATGAGCCTCTGTAGCTGACAGTAGCACTTTCTGTTTGTATTAGATTACAGAATTGAAAACTGGGCTCTTAAAATTATTAGTTGCATTATTTTTAGCCCAGATACCTCGGCAGCAATTTGGTCAGTCTGTTTCCTTGAGCACATGCCAGGGGCACATAGGACTTGCAGCACACCATCCATACACAGCAGGACATGCTGATAAACCCTGATGTTGCCTTAGTGATGTTTGGGCAGCTCTGCTCCCCTCTGTCCCTACCAGCAGCAGCTGGAAGTGATCCCTGCTGCCCAAGGGAACCCTTTCACCTCCTCTCAGCCTCCAAATCTCACCCTTCTGGAGAGCAGAACTACCAGGAGCCAGCAAGGTTCACCCAGGGAAATATCACTTACTCATCTCATCCAAGATGTCCTAACCTTTGCTGCACACCTCAGAGGAAGGTCTGCTGGGTGCTCTTTTTTCCCCAGAAATCCAGGTGCAGAGGAAGAGGGTCTGGGAAAGCTAGCCAGAGAAGAAGACTCAACAGGGGCTTGAGGTGGACAGCAGAGAGAAGAAAAAAAAGCACAAAGACTGTTAGAGTTTTTTTCCCTTCAGTTCTGTAGCTGTAATATATAAGCTGTGTGTCACTTGCACTTCTTTCTGGAGAGTTTACATTCCTTCAGCAGCAAAGTGCTAGTCAGCAGTCCAGTAGCACAGTGAACCCATGCATCCATGCCAGGTTCCTTTCCCCTGACCTCTTCCCTTGGAAATCATGCCAAGCACCTCTCTATACCTCTGCACACGCCTCTTCCTTAGGGGTTGGCTGGAAGGTAGAGCTGCGAATTTTCAGTGGGCAACTTGTGGATTGGCCACAGACCAAACCTTTGCTCTGATACCAACCATATGCACTTTGAATCCTCTTTAAAAATGTGTGGGAAAGAAAGCTCCGTAAGGGTCAGACTTTAAACTGAAATTCACTGCCTTTGTGAGAGAAGGCAGCTAGAGGTATGTGATGTTTATTTGTACATGACGAAATAAACCAATGAAGACATGAATGCTTTTTTTGCAGTAACAAAAGCTGTGAACATTTCGTCAACTACACAAGCAACAGTATTGCAAATGGCAAAAACTGCAGTCAAGCCCACCAATGAATCCATCACGAGAAGTAAGTGAAAGTTTCTTTAAGCTCATTGTTGATGTTGTTCTAGTGGTTGTTCAGGAAATTAAGCAGCAGTGCCTCTTGGCCTGGGAATTTGTTTTACAGATGGTGAACACTTCAGTGAAATCTTGCTGGTGTGCTAGCAGCGTCCTCTTGGTCAGTCTCAAGGCAGCTCCAAGCCAGGCCTAATCACAGGCTTGTTGTCAGTGGGATGACTCACCTATGGGACAGGGAGCAGCTTTCTCTGCAGCGAAGGGAGCCATGTCCCTGTTGATCTTCAATTTAAATTAAATATTCTCTTGATAATTTAAAACTTGGCTGTAAGCAGGGCAATAAGTGTGTTTTGTGTGTGTGCATGTGTGTGTACACAAACTTGAGGAAATAATTCAAATGTTGTTCCTTTATTAGACTCCACATCTTCTGCACCTAATACTACTACACCACAAATAATACGAAGTACAGCACAACCACCAGTAAATGTGACCACTACAGCAACAGATAAAAGTGGCAGCACAAACAACAGTAAGTGGTAATTTCATTGAGAGATTTCTGATTTATTGTATGCTACATTTCTGTAAACCAGTATGCAGAGCAATAAAAGGAGGTAAAAAAGGGTACATTAGGTCATGGATTTGGAGGTTTGGGGAAGCAGAGCTATTCATTTTACCATATTACATATCTTCAATGAATCTTGTCCTAGAATGTTATATTTGTAGTGGAGGTGATCTGAAGCCATTACACAGGATTTGAATCTCTCTGTAATTGGGAAAGATGTATTTGGAAGCTTTTAATTTTTTATATTCTTCTATGTTTTGATTTTTTTTAATAAGCTTTTAATCATAAATGTATGATTCTATCTGATCAGACTGGTGTCAGAACAGCCCCCATTGTTTTTTATTATTATATATGTTACAGTGCTACAGTTAATTATGTTCTATATTATTATGAGTCACAGTACTGAAAGCAGAGAGGTGGTACTAATTACCCTGCATCAATCTTAGGAAATAGTTTTGTTCCCCATAAACCTTCAGAATAACGTGTGTTGGACCAGTGCATCAGACTGGATTCTAGAAAACAAATTTTCTTTTAAAAATACGACATATCCAGCAGATATTTGGATTAATTCAAACAAGTATGATGGCATCCAAAAGGAGCCCAGTAAACTTAAGATGAAATACAGTCTCACTTTGTTGTCTATTAATTACAGTGTAAATGTTTAAGTATTTTGCTGAACCAGAGCTTTGAAATGCTCAATTTTTTATACTTAATTGACTCAAAAAATTAAAACTAAGTACTCCAGATATTTAATTCATCAGTCAGTGGTACACCAATGTTCTCAGACTTGATCTTTGAGCATACTGAACTGTGACAAATTATTAGAACTTGACTTCTCTTCCCTTGGTTTCCTTGCATAAAAAGGGACCTCTATGAAACAGCCTGCATGCTTTCTCTGTGCAAATTCTCATTTAAAGCTACCCCTCATGGACCCAACCCTGCTAAGCTGCCTGGAGAGCAATTACCCTTTCACTCAGTGGTTACATCTTTTGTTGATGCAGCTTTTCTGCTCTGCTTGGCATAGGGAGAAGTCTGATCATCATCCCAAAGTCTTTTGACTTTTGGCTTGACTTTTAAATGCCAGTATCTGTGAGTCACAGGATACAGTTGGAGTGATGCACAAGCTGCTAAAGTGACACCAAAAGCCACAAAGAATATTTTAAAGCTTGCATTTGTGACCCTGTGGGCCTGTCAAAAGCCCACAGCATGGTGCATCACATCACGGGTGTGATTCCTAGTCCTTTGGGTTTGGCAGAGGTTCCTGGCTTGTGGGTACCAGAGCAGCACAGTCACCTGGAACTAAACTTTGGTGACAGGTATTGCTCCCAGCAGGGAAAGAAAAGCTAACAAGGAAAGGCATACCTGCCAGTGCGGCTTATCTCTGGCCACTGCTCTGCACCGATGCCTGGAAAAAACTGGTACTGGAGGTATGATGGAGCTGGGTGTGAAGTTTTCACCAATGCACCTCCTTTCTATTCCTCTTGTGTTCTCTTCCTATAAGCTAGAGTTCAGTACCTAGTTACTTGGGTTGTGATTTGTCTTTTAAAATCCTCATTTAAGCTAAAAAAGCCCCAAAAAGCTTGTGATAAAAATGGTTGACAACTGAACCTAAAACCAAGGCTTACCTGCCTCTCAGTTCCCTTTGTAAACAGGAAAATTAAAGAAGACTGTCCTGTGTTAAATTAAAGAACAGTCGTGTGTGAAAAGATTTTTTTATTTTCTTTCAACACTAAGTAGTATTTGGAAAAACTGTGTAAGTGAAAACCAGTTTTAGTGGGTTTTAAGGCAAAATTCTGGTCTAGCTTTCAAAAGTCATAGCCTTGGCTTCAGCACAAAGGGGCGGGACAGCACACAAGGTAGTGGCTTTGGGACAGGGCACAACCCTTGTAGAAAACCCACAGACCCCTCGACCACCATCTGGCTGCAGGCTACAGCCACCTCTGTTTTCCCCATGCACTGGTGTGGCGAGGTGCCATTGGCTTCACTGCAGCCTCCCAGCCCCCGCCGGCATCCTCAGCAGCACCGAAGACTGGGGGACTTGTGCTTCCTGAAGCGAGCACAGGCGTAGCAAGACTTCTGAACTCAAAATGGACAGGAGGTGAAAGTTGATTAGTCTCTTTTTCTTTTTCACTAGCACTCACTTCTACCTCTTTTTGGGCTGGCTGTGTGGGACAGAGGCAGAAATTGGCGGTGCCTTTATGACACTTCAAGATTTATCTTTCCTACACCTGATTCAGAGATTTGACAGGGCTTCTTGTCTCTGCTGCAATTTCTGTGCCTGCTGTCACCTTTTATTATAAATTCAGAAAAAAACCCCAGTGTTCCACATGTTGTGAAATCATGCAAAAAAGTTTGTCTTTTTATTTCCTCTGCCCACCAAAGTCTTCAATATTGTTTTCCTCTGCAGGCCATAAACACAATCTCACCCTCTATGCCTTCCTGCCTTGTTTATTATATTGAAAGCCAGCAACTAAGTCCTGCTTTCTTAACAAGGGCTCAAATCCAATAGCTCGCATTTAGCCAAAAGTGTGACCTCACTTGTGCAGTCCAGGCCCCAAAACAAGAATGGTGCCACACTACAGCAAGTTGCATCTGCAATGAGCAAATCGTGGGACACTTGGAGTTATCAAAGAGAATATGAAATGAAATCCAACAAAAGATTATGTCCTTCCTCCCAGGAGACAGAGCAAGCATTTTATGCAAGATCAAGGTATTAAATTACAAGTAAGAGTAGATTTTTGGCTGTTGTGTCTCTAATTTATCTCATGCCACTCCCCTGGATGATGATGAATCATGATGCAATGAAATATGAAATATTAAAAAGTGAGAGAAGGAGAGAGTGGAGGGGATACTTTTTTAATCAAACTACTGGTAATTAAGATGGAAGCTTTATTTCCGTACAGCTACCATAACAGGGTTATGGTAACATGTATTTCTCAATTGTCCTCTGGTTGTTACCACATGCTATAGGTAAGCACTGAGGACAGTTGGCTGCTGAGACATGTAATGCAGAGAGATGTTGTTTTAAAACATGTATTTTGAAATACTTGGGATTTTTGGCTTACCAGAAAATGTAAAGCTGGCAGAGAGCAGATGCAATCAGCTATGAGTGTAAACATTGAAACTGAGATCTGCTTGGTTACCTCCCTAGCCAATTTCCATTCCTCTGAATGGGTGTGAAGTTCCATTGGTTTTGCTACACTGGGATTTTTCAAAGCTTTCATGAATGCATTTGTTAATGCAAATGGTTTCTCAGGCTATTGATTAAAGGGTCAAGGACTATATGTGTGTTTATGCTAAAGATTATGACCTCAAGGGAGAAGATTTAGTCTTCCATCTTAGAAAGTCCTTGTCCTGTCATTTTAACATGGTTTGGGTGCACTTCCTTCTGCCTTGTAAAGGTGTTTCCTAGATTCATCGATTGGCCAAGGTAAGGATCTATATTCTTTGCACTGCAGGGTGTATATGCAGAGTGTTTGCTGCTTACTTGAAGTATCTTATAATGTCAAAGCTGGTTAAGTAACAGCCTGCTGTAAAGAAAATTTAAAGTACTTTCGGGAAATGCCAAAATATATGTGGATTATATGTAGGTTAAGTAGAAATTCATGCTAGGATCAAGTAAGAATATGTGTTAGATTTCAGTTGGTTAAAGAAAATGAAGGGTTTTCAGAGCACAAAGAGTAAGGAAATACCTGAGGCTCAGACAGCATCTTTGCAGAGCAGCTTCAGGTTCCCTGTTGTTGACTATCCCTTTGACAAATACGTGTTAACACACTGTCATTTATCTTATCAAAATATCAGCAGGGAGAGCTGCATCACCACCAGGGAGTTCTGCCACTGCAGCAATCAGCCCCACTCGGACAGCTATTTTACAACCTTTACTGCTTCACCATTTTTACTCATAATCAGCTGTTGACAACAAACCATTAACAGATGATGTGGGTGCTTTTGCAGCAGCAGCAGCCACCCTCCTCTGCTGTGCTGCTTTTCTGTGAGCCCAGGCCTCCCCCTGCCAGGCAAACAGAAATCTTTGCTGCAGCTGGCTGAGGCGAAGCGTGATGAATTACTGCAGGGATGTGTCAGTGGGGACGGCAGAACTGAGTCACCGTGTGCCTGCGCAGAGTCCCCCGCCTGTTCCTGCACAGAGCACGGGCACCACAGTACGGACTTGAGCTGTCTCCTCCTGTTGAGATCAAATTAAGCCTTGCATAGATATGAGTTATGGGATTTACCGAAAAGGCAGATTTCTAGCAGGCGTACTGTGCTGTCAGTGCTGCCGTCGCAAACATGAGCAGTGGCTGGATGTGAATGCTTCTGTTCCCATAGGCTTTTGGCACAGGCTACTCGATCTGCTAAATGTGTTGATGGTAGAGCCTGTGCAGCGTATTAGGCGTAAGGCTTGGATGCTGCTTAAAAGCTGCTTCAAAGCCACAAGTCAGCAGAGAATTGGGTTGCTAGGATTTAATCTTACAGTAGTACAGTGGAATTAAGGGAACCTTTCCTGTAAGGCTGCATTTTTTCATCTTGGAAGTGGTGAAAACTGGCACACAGTTTTTCACGTCTACTTCACCCCTTGACACCAGAAGCTGGGAGCCTGTTCTGTAGTCTGATGAAATAAATGCAACAAGCTTCACAACAAGCCCTAGGTAAAGGCATGAGGGAGGATGATGGGAAGGAGGGAAGGTTGAATTTAAAAAAAAAATAAATGGAGGCTATTTCATTCCTCCCTTCCTGATCCCCCACTGAGGCATACCCAGCACGCAGCCCGTGTTCCTGAGAACAATCTGTTCTCACAGCTCCCAAACACAAGAGGAGCACCCAGGGCTGGGCTGCTGCCAGGACTGATACGATGCCTGAAACTTGTGATCCCTATGGGAAAACAGCTCTCTGCAGGGTTATGAGGCAACTGGCTGCCTCCCTCCTCATCTCTCCCACACACTTGATCGATTGTTTTGCAGGGTTCACAAAAGATATTTGCGTTCAAATGTCTCTGCACATGAAGGCATACTGTTAGTCTGCCTTTACTTTTGATTCTCCCATGCAACTTGGTACTAACTTATGCTAAGGGAGACAGAATATGGTTGCTGTTACTGTTAGAAGCCCATGCATCTTAGAGAGAAGAAGGTTCTTCGAGGGTTTTGTCCTTTTTTTTTTTTTGTTTAATTGATCTCAGATTAAAATTAAACATTTAAAATTTGAGTCTCAAGCAACCGCAGTAAGAACCAAAAGAGAAAAAAGTTAGCTTTTAAAGCTTCATTCAAAGCTTCTATGATGAGAATGCAGGAATGATTAAAGTTCTTGGATTCTTGCATTATACTATAGTCAAAAATTATGTAGAGGGGCTTTTTACACTCATCTCTGTTGCAGATTAGGCTTGCATACTGAAGGGGTAAAATGCTGAGGTTTCTGGAGGGAGCTGACAGTGAAATTATGCTTCTCATTCAATAGAATCCCAGTGAAAATTTTAAGCATTTAAGCTTGTTTAGCATAATTTTCAGTACAGTTTTCTTCCATGACTAGATCTTCAAAGACACCATCCCTGGCTGTCTGGCTCATAGAATCATAGAATGGTTTGGGTTGGAAGGGACCTTAAAGATCATCCAGTTCTACCCCCTGCCATGGGCAGGGACACCTTCCACTAGACCAGGTTGCTCAAAGCCTCATCCAGCCTGGCCTTGAACACTTCCAGGGATGGGGCATCCACAGCTTCTCTGGGCAACCTGTTCCAGTGCTTCACCACCCTCTCTGGGAAAAATTTCTTCCAACCTAAATTTCCCTGCTTTCAATTTAAACCCATTGCCCCTTCTCCTGTCACTACAGACCATTGTAAAAAGGGCTTCTCTCATTTCCCAAAGTTGTATGAATCCACTGACTCCAGTGCTTCAGTTCACTCATTTATTTTTGAAGCTTGCCTCTCCAAGGTATTCACTTAATAAACAAAAGGGAAAGGAAAGGGACAAGTTAAAGGTGTGTGGTGGTAGAATTAGGGAGCTTTGTGTGTTGGGTTTTTTTTTCCCTGAGAAAAGTGTTCTTTGAGGGGCCAAACTGGTAATCAGAGTTTCTGAATAAAACATGAGATGAAGCATTCCTCAGCGTTAAGATGTTGCATGTTCATGATGTTGCACTTGTTTGACTAAAATATGTCTTAAAGTTGTTTTAGTTCCAGTGTTTGAAATTCAGATGAAGAGACACTGAAAACAGTTTACAGCTCAGTCGCATCTCTGATCTATATCTGAAAGGAAGTATAAGGCTACTCTTGGGTACCCCTATGTTTTATTCAGTAGGCATTGTCTTGCCTGTTATTATGCTGAAGTTTGAGCATAGACATAGGAATTATCAGCTGTGCTGGAACAGCTTAAATTCTCTCTTGTTGTCATTTGGTGACCTTCAGTTCCACAGGCTGAGGTGGTGCCCTGCACCTCCATCTTGGACCCACCCTAGGCTGCAAATCTTGTGACACAGGTGGCCTCTATTGACTGTATGAGAGCAGAAATAAGAGACCGCAATTTTTCATGCAGTAATTTTCAGTGATACATTATTTCATTTGCCTTAACAGCACAAAATAAAACAATTAACTCTGTGCTTAATTAAAATCCTTAAAACTTTTTACAATATCACATTACGTGGCAGTTGTGGCTGAAGCTTCTTTTTGTTTTCTTTTTTTTTTTTTAAAATGAAGGTTAAAGATAGAGGGCAGTAAGCAAGCTTCTCTCATGTTTATGTTTCTGTGGGTTCAAGACTGTCTAGTTGTTGTGGGCTCTCAAGTCAGAGCTCTAGGCTGTCTTCTGACACACATGTGAAGCTCTTTCTGATCCTAGAATGTGCTTCAAAGATGCCTTAACTATGCCTTAACTAGTAGTACAGCGTTGTAGGGATTGTTCACAGAATCATTCAGTTTGGAAAAAAACTTTAAGATCATCAAATCCCACTGTTAACCCGGAACTGCCAAGTCCACCACTAAACTATGTCCATAAACATCATATCTTCATGTGTCTTAAATCCCTCCAGGGGTGGTGACTCCACCACCTCCCTGGGAAGCCCATTCCAATGCATGAGAACTATTTTGGTGAAGACATTTCCTAATATTCAATCTAAACTTCCCTTGGCACAACTGAGGCTGGTTTACTTTTGTCCTATTACTTGTTACTTGTGATAAGAGCCTGACACCAACTTTGCTACAACCTCCTTCCAGGGAGCTGTAGAGAGCCATAAGGTCTCCCCTCAGCCTCCTCTTCTCCAGGCTGAACACCCCCAGCTCCCTCAGCTGCTCCTCACAGGACTTGTGCTCCAGACCCTTCCCCAGCTCCGTTGCCCTTCTCTGGATACACTCCATCTCCTCTGTCTTTCTTGCAGTGAGGGGCCCAAAACTGAACACAGTATTCGAGGTGCGGCCTCACCAGTGCCCAGCCCAGGGTTTGTCGCTTGACAAGGGGTTACTAGAAGCTGTAGTGATTTCTGACCTTAAGTCTCCTCTGTGATGGTGGGAGCATCTGTCTGGGATATGGTCCAGGATCTAAGGCAATGCTTATACTGTTGTATCTTATTTGAATGTCTGCCTCATTTCCAGCTACACAAGCAAGTGGAACACAATTGGCACAAAATGGGAGTTTGGTTGCTTCATCTGCTTCATCCGCTTCATCTGCTTCATCTGCTTCATCTACTAAGGCATCGTCTTTTTCTTCTACAACCTCACTACAAAAAACCACTTCTGCTCCTGGAACTTCAGGTGAGTCTTGAAAATATACACTATATTTTTCAATACAAAGTTCAAAAAATGCAAATAATTTCTAATGTCCTGTTCACTTGCTCATTGTCCTAGATTGAGAGCCACCTCCTTATTCATGCAGGGTACGCTGTGTCCATGAAGTTATGATGAGTGATGGATGAACTTCAAAACACTCAGTTGGGATATTCAATGTCATTACAGGAGGTTATAAATTAAAAAAGATAATAGCAATCTTTATATATGCTGTATGTGATCATTGACTGCCAGAGGAAGTCATTGAGATACATTTTCTGGCTACAAAGCAAAGGAGACAAAGGAGAAAACAGCTATAATTTTTACAATTGTGAATAAATCCAGAGGGCAAGTTAATGCATGTTACCAATTAAATGACATTGTTCAAAGTACAACATGGTCACATGCAAGGTCAAAAAGACATTAATCCTTCCCAACTCCAGTCTAGTATTATTGTTTTTCTGGGTGTGTTTTGGTGTATTTAGCCACTAAGCAACACTGCAGTGAATGTAGATGCCAGGTCATGTGAATGATCATTTATTGCTTCTAGCTGGCTTAATTTTCCTGGACTTTGAAGAACCACTTATTTGGGCTTTCTTAAGGTCTCTTGAGCCTTCAGTTCACTCGATACTTACTTTCAGCTACACGTGTGTAAATCTAATAAGGATGCTACTTTTGTTTGTGTATCCCAATTATTATGAATGTTTAATTCATAAACAAGGGATACAAGACTTTTTATAACCCCTGAATTGTGTTTCTGGGAGATAAGCATGCACATGTAGTGTGGTTTTTCCTCATAGAGGATAGGACTGTATATATAAGTGGAGTATTATCATATGCTCAGGACACAATGAAACACATAGAAGCATGCAAAAAGATATTATAATAATAAGCATTTTAAGAAAGTTGGGATTTTTTTCACTTTCAATCCAAGGCCACTGATTTAGAGAGGATTTTTTGCACTTATTTCAATAAGTCTATGCTGTGTAATGCATATATTGTGAGCTATAGTTACTTGATTATTCTGTTAGGTTTCGTGTCTTTTGGCAGCCAAATGCATGGTATGGAAACCTTACCTTTGGTACACTACAATAAGGCAGTAAATTACAGTGTTTTTCATTAAAGGTTCTCTCGCACAGGTGAATTCTCCAGGTTAAAATGAAATTGTAATACATATCTGGCTACAGATCACATGCATTGAATTACCTATTACATTGTTTGTACAGTTACATTTTACATTTAAGATTTGCCCAGAAATTTTTACAACCTTCCTTGGGTCTGTTTGTGAAAGGCATCATCTTACTCTGATCACTTTGCTGTAAAACCAATTAATCTTCTTGAGCTCTGGGACTACCCAACATGCCAGGACTGTAATTGCCTGGCTGAGAAAGAAAGGGCCCATCTATCCAGGGGGAGTCACTCTAGGTGCTTGGCATAGACAGTACTCTGAGTTCCCATAAAACTGCCACTTCAAAATCACTTGCTCCTCCACCAGGAATTCCACACTTAACACCTTTCCTGTCTCCTCACAGCAACAGCTCCTTGCTTCTTTCTTGCAGATTAAATACGCAAGAAATCCCATTACTCGCCCGGATGAACTCAGGTAGTTTATCCCAAATGGGTGCACCTTTACACTACCCTTGCTCCCTTATTCTTTGTATTCTCTGACTTTCATGAAAAGATGTTTTGGTTCCCTCTAAACAGATTTCATCTCCTATGTACAATCGCTCAGAGCCAAGGGAAACCATATGCTGTACCCTAATAACTTTTAAAGCAATGCAAGTGTGAAGCCAGTTGTTTCATTCGGTGCTGAGACTGGAAGAATTGCTGTATCTCTTACTACCATTAGATTATTTCTTCCCAGCTCTTTGAAATTTCACATTCAGGGGCTTCTGTAGGGACTGGATACCTTTTGTTCACCAGAGCAGAGGCTGGTATGCGCCTGCTGGAGCCCATAGGGAATAGCAGAGTTCGCAAGCTGAAGGCACCCAAGCCACAGCTTCTGAGTGGGAGCTCAGGGGAAGACAATTAATGTGAAATTGATCCAAAACAGAACGTTTCTATTTGCTATGCTCAACCAAAATAATTCAGCTGGCTAACCTCAATGCAAAAGAATATATTTAGTTTTGAGACCATTTTCCATTAAAAAAACCCAACCCTGTTTTGGTGAAAATTCCCCTTCTTGTTGCAGAAAAAGCGCATTTTGAAGACAAATTTCCAATCATCCATATCAAAAGATCAGGGTGTGGGAGGAGTGCCACAAAGAGCTGGAGAGCGACTGAAATGAGTGGGGGAGCCTAGGAAAGAACTTGGAGAAACATCAGAGAACAGTACTGCTGTATTAAAGAAGATTGAAACCACCAGCCACAGAGGAGGGGCTGTGTAGTGCTCACTCAGGCTAGGGATGGCAATAGCAACTGTTTTTAGCAAAGCCATTGACACATACACTTCTTTAACTTTGGCTGTCATGTATAATATACCTCCTACTCATTCTCCACCTCCACAGAGGATTGCTTGCTAATATTTAATTTTCTCCTTTTGTTTAATTAATGAAAAATTGGAGATTTAATGGATCAGTCTGAGAAACTGCAAGCATTGTAGCTTTTTACTCTGTGACCTAAACAACAAAAAAATCCATAAAGCAGTATGAGTTCTAGCTCACACATCAGGGTGGTAAGATCAAATGATCTATTATAATAAACTGTCAGATGAATCAACCTGCTGCATCTATTGATATCTTTATTGCACTCCTCCAATTGTAAAGCCTACTCACTTGATTCACAGGAGGCATCTCCCTAAGCAAAATCCTTATGAGTAACACAAGCAGGGTTTGACTCTTTCTGTACCCAAACTGTGTAGGAACTCTGGATAGTGATATTAGGTAAAAATTACCCACCATGTCTTCAGGTTCTTCACAAAGAGCGAGAGAGACAAAAGATTATGTGCCTGGGAGATGGAAAATATAGGAAAGCCTCAGTAAAAACAATTACAGATCTATAGCATGGTCCGGGCAAGGATGGTTTTTTAAAGTTCTTAATTTTGCTTTGATTTATATTGTGGTATCCCCTCTGAGTAATCAGCCAAATTTATTCATTTGTTTTGCCAATGAACACAGTTCCATGTGGCTGCCCTCCAAAAACAGAAGCAGTAAAACTGCAGGGATCCAGGCTGCTTAGGTAGCGGCTGTTGAAGAACAGAGTGGAGAGATGTTAGTTATTGGTCTCTTTCTCCATCTGTCAAGCTTCTAACCAGTGCTCAACTGACTCAGGCAGGTATTTTCAAATCAAACCAGTGTCACAGGCCAAATTTTTTATCCCTGTCCTTCTTACTGCACGACAAGGATTCAGCACAGTCAGTGTTGCACACCCCACTTTTCGTGATGAATCTGGAAATCTTCCCAGATTATTTATGCAGAGCATCTGCCCCCTAACTCGTCGCCCCGAAGGATGTGGTAAGCTCTGAACAGGCAGCTAGAACAACTGCGGTAACCATCTTAGCAAGCGAAATGCTGCCTTTCCTCGCCCTCTTTCTGTACAACAGCAGTGTGTGACCTCACCACCAAAAAGGGTACTGGATGGTTATTTAGAAAATGCAAACTGAAATCAAAAAAAACAGCTTTGTTTGTGTGGCAGGGCTGAACAATCTCTGAACAGAGAGAGAGAAGGGCACAAGATTTTTTGTATTAATTTTTCATGCTCTAGCAGAATCTGGGTGAGATATCTTTGGAAAAGATGCTTGTAGTTTTATTGTGCGTAGATGTGTGCAGGTTTTAAAAAATATCAAAGGCTCAGGAGGCTCCTACAGTCCTTGAAGGAAGGGCAGGGGGCCGCTGTCATGTGTCCTACCTAGGATCGTTTCTGCTGTCTGGCTTTACTGAAGTGACAAGGTTGGGCCAGGACAGCAGCATGGGTTTTGGTTGTGCCTGCGGGTACTGAACCACAGGTTGCCTGACCCTTCCTGCTCACAGAGCCTAATGTCACCTGTATACAGCTTTGACAAACCTTACCTTAAGTCTTCAGGGTGAACCTGGATATTGGTCCCAAGCTTGACATGCTTTTTCTATTGATTTATTTGCTCTAATTTGAGCCAAGATGATTCACTTTTTTTGCAAGAGTGAAGCTAAGGGAAAATGTATAATTATGTTATAACCTTGGGTGGTTTTCTCAGGAAAGCTCAACCTTCCTCAGGCTTGGGAGACAGAACTTGAAATTTCATAAGGAAAGTGACCTATTTGTAGGACCTGACAAGATCTTCTGCCTTTCTATGCACACACAGGGCTTTACCTTTTGCTTGTTCAACCATTGCTGTGTGATCACATGGTATTTTTTCCATGAGATCCCACCCCTTGTAGGCTGAAGAAAAGGCAGTATTGGGTAACAAACAGTCATATCGTATTTGGATGTTTCCTTAATGCCAGGTATGTGCCCTGTTGCATTCTATACTATGTGTACTTCTAAACCTCCTTTGGCAGGCGAGTTACTAACTTCCTGAAAGCTTTTCCTTAACTCTCATCGTTAATGTTGCCCAAACAATGCTGTAAACACTGCCTAATGAATCATCACAAAGATCCTCCCTGAGCAAGGTGACACTGCTATTTGCAGACGGATTGATGAAATGATAAAAAGCCGAGGAAAAGTCTCCTCTGGATCCTAGGAAGCCAGGGTGAGATAACTGTATACCTTCAGAGTACTTAGCATTACTAATATTTAGTATGTTCAAGTGGAGGTCTCACTGCTGACTTTTAAGTACTTGGCTTTTCAACCTGAATGTGCTTTCCATGCATGTTTGTGATTAAAATGCAGTTAAAGCTCTGTCACATATATCATTAGGAAAAGGGGTTATTTGCATCCCAGTGCCTCAAGTGTTCTGTTTTTAATTGGGTGTAGAGAGGAGGAAATACAAGAGCAGCCATTCTGATTTTCAAGGAGTACAGTCACAGCAGTAGAATAATGTGCTTCACTTGTGTTACAGCTGCGGTGGTAGGAGCTTTCTTTGTGCAAAGCCTCAGTCCACAGCACAGAAAGTGCAGCGAGGGTGAAGATTGTGTTTGTACAGGGACTCTGGTCAGAGGAGGAGCTCTGCAATCCTGGGCACTCCGGGGAGAGGCGGAATGCCTGCCTGGAGTTAAAGCTGCCTTCACACCACTCCCTCTGTGATCTCCCAGACTGGCACAGCTGGGACACGGAGGATGTGCTGGTGGGTCACGTCCTCCCATGAAGCTCCTGAGACAAGGCCAAATGCACCATATACCCCACAGATACTGTGGCAGCAGTGAACCCTGAAGAGACCCAATGAGGAGGCCCTCCAGCCCAGAAGACAGTGACCAAACACTGTGATCTATATCTCAAAATAATGAGCAACTGCTAAGGATATAGTGCCTGAGGGATTTTTTTCCATGGTAACTCCAGTAATCCAGTGTGAGAGGCCTCACCAGGCAGGCAGAGTGCCAGTCACTTGCCCCTGGCAAGAGGCAGTCTGTCTTGTACACACAGATAAATGTTTTGCTGCCGTGTTCACACAGATGGATATTCTCAAAGACACGGACGAGTTAGGTATCCAGCTCCCTTTGACTTTAGAGTGATTGCAGAAGAGATTTAATGCAACGTAATAAAAATGGCTGTGGGAGTGATGGTTGTCTGTGACTAGCCTCCAAATGTGAAGTATTCACAGCCACCTTAATTTCCAAGCATGCTACAGTCTAGACACACAAAAGCAGCAGCATACTAACACAAATCTAACAAAAAATTAGTGTTCTGCACCAAAAACTTGTGAAGTGGCTGGGGGAAGCTGACAGTAGCAGGCCAGTAAGCATTGTTCACAGCACTCTGCAAGGTCCTTTTCTTATTCATTACCAATGCCTCTTACTGCTGCTGCTCGGCAGTCTGCTAGCCAAAAGCACCAAGAAAATTAATGAAGATTCATTTTGAAAGGTTTTTGTGACATGTGAAGACATGTCTCAATTAGGCGTTTGTGGTTCTTTTAATTAAACACTTATTTGTCAGTTAAATGCCAGCTATTTACTCCCAAGCACTTACTTGGTTTTGGCAGGAGGAATTTTTTTAGGAATGTATCAATTAATTCAGGATTTTCTTCTCTTAAGCAGAATAAAAACCCAGCGTAGGCTGTGCTTCGGGTTCTGCTCCCATCTATAAGGGAGTCTTTAGACCTTTAACAGCTCAGAATTTCTGGGCTTGGGAACAGTGTCAGCATATCTGTTCTGGGTCAGCATTTCTTGTGGGGTTACTGAACTCGTTGCTAGGGTCTGCCAGCTTGTATGATGTGATGACTCTGGACATCTAACCTTAAAACAGTTACTAACAAGCCTGTTCCTTCTGTTTTATTGCAGGCCTTCCCATGTCGACAGAATCTACAAGTAAGAGCTCTGTGCACACTGGTGAAAAGGGTTGGCGTGGGGTGGGAAGCGGGCAGCCTGAGGGTAGGGAACAAGGAGGCTCTGAGGGAAGAATGAACCTGAAGTGTAGTACAGAGAAGCAGAGGAGTGATATTCAAGTTGTAGCAATGAGTAACTTTGCTGTGATTTCATCTGAATGCCATTTTGAACTAGCAGATGCTGAAAACAAAACAGGGTGAGAGCACAAAAAAAAAAAAAAGTCAGGCCTGGCGTATTCCATGATGCAACGGGAAATTGATATAAATAGAGTGTTTACCAAGGAGCTTGTTCTTGTCAGTGGCTCACGTTCCTTGTCCTGTGGGTAGAAGCAGCAGGTCCCAGAGTAAGGCAAGAGTTTCCTGTGCTAGTAAGCCTGCATTGTCCTATTTTCCTTTCTCTAGGCTTATCAGGAAACAGTTTCTTCTGTACTGGTCCCTGCAGTTCTTGCTTCAGCAAAAGCTTGTCCCTCCTGTTACCATGATGGATGTATTACTCCAATGGTTATTCTTATCCCAGATTGTCCCATAGCTGGAAAATATCTTCCAGATTCCTTTTCCAGATCCTGAGAAAGTAAGCGGGATGGTCTGGCTTATGAGAAACTTCAATGAATGAAGTGGATATCTCAGTTAAAGGTTTTAATTCCTTAATAAATTTTATTCATTCAGTAGTCCTTCTTTTTAGCTATTGTATTTCTCATTTTTTGTCTCAGGTAGTTAAAATGTTAGACTATGGATTTTTCTTTCCTGCATTATTCACATCTTGGTCATTTAACAGAGAACTAGGAAAATAACCAGTGAATTAAGATCCTCAGTTTTTCTCCTGAGGAGATGCTGCACAAATGCAGGGATACACGTTCATATTTTTCAGTGTAATTTGTTTCTGTTGACATTCTCAGTCAGTATCCAGGATAACTCATTGCTGTGAGTTGCCTGCTGCCCAGTATATCATGCAGCATATCAGATAAGGTAGTGAAAAGGGCAGTAGTATTTCCACAGGAAATCTAAAGTAATCACATGGCATTACAAATTCATAATAATTATTTCAGTCACCTGACGATGGATTATAGTTTCCACCCTTACAATATCACTCCTCAGCAGAGAGGCACCATGGAGAGAGAACTTCTGCTTTAAAGAAACATAGTGATTTTTCAGAGATAAAGGTCTTGGACAATGATAATTTCCTGTACTACAGCATCAGAAGGTCTCAGCTGTGGCTGTATTGTTTAGGCACCACACAAGCACATAGTAAGAGGTTTCAGTCTCTGGCCAGACAAATGAAAGGGGGAGATGGGGGGAAAGGAAAAAAAAAAAAAAAAAAGAAAAGGAAAGGAAACAGAGAAGCTAAACAATATGCCCCAAATTCCCACAGCTACATAACAGCAGAACAAAAATGAAAACACGGCTCTCTCAAATCTTCCCCTTTGCACTACCAGTCAATCCACATAAATTTTTAAGTAAGACCATGTGGCTCATACTTACCTGGAAGATCCAGTAGACTGGCATATCCAGCAAACCTGTGGAGAAACTGGCCCCTGGCTGTTCTGTCCTTTATTCCTCTTGCATCAGGAGACAGCATACTCTTACATGTCTGAGCAGACCAGTAAGTTGTGAGAATGGGAATATGGGCAAGGAGAGAATAGTGGAGAAAAAAACAATTACCAAAACTTTTATCACTAGTTAACCTGAGTTTTTAAAATCATTGCAGCAAGGAACCCCTACAGGGTTGGGACAAACAAACCTTGTTTGTTACTCTAATTCAGCAAACTAGAATTACATGTACAGCCTATACAAAAAAGTAAAAATCCATCTGTAAAAAAGGTGGACCTGACATACAGAGACTTAACAAAATTGTGTTCTAGCCCTCAAACGGGTCCTGGGAAATTGGTTTTAATAACCCAGCTGATTTTGTGTTTTCTACCTATCAAGTGGACCTCACTTCCGTGCATCCCTACTGGTATATGAAGTATAAATGGGTACTTGAGCAATGAATCAGAGCCTGCAACAGAGCCTCAGTGGCTGCTACTCTCTCACTACTTGCATACAGAGCTATACTCTCTACTAGCCCCCCTGCTTAACAGACTACCTTGCCCAGACGCCTTTGAGAGACATTTCTGGTATTTAGATGAACAAATGGAAAAGCTTGGCCTTGCATAACAACTTTGATGCTAGGCATCTAGCTATCCATTTGTCCACCTGGTCAGCTTCTTCAGTGGCAGTAAGCACACGTCTGCTCAAGCATTTATCCAATACGGAATACAATCCTGTGTGCTGTAAAATGTAACTGGGGAAGCATTGATGATTGCTTTTTCTTTTTACTCTCTTGAAGTCCAGTGATTGTTTTTCCACAGACTGTATGCAACAAGGTAATAAATATCTTGGGTTGTTGACGCCTCACTCAAATTCAGATTAGTATCTGAAGGTAGAATTGCATTCCTTTAAACCCTGCCCTAAAAAGTGCCCAAGGGTCCCAACAGTCTTTGTTCTCCCCAGATGTGGCAGAGAGAGCACGCACATGCCCTTATAACACTCAACTCTCAAGAAAATCTTAACCTCCATAAAGTGAAAAGTTTGTAGCTCATAATCTGTAAATGGACAGAGCAGATGATCCTATGCACTGCACCTGTGCAAAATGTGTGTTCGTTCTAGGCCATGCTAGATAAACTTCTCCACCCCTCTTGCCAAGTTATCCAGGTATTATTGAGAAGTACTATAGCCGTGGACCACCAAATGGCTGCAGAACTGGGGGCACAGAATTTTTTGGGGGAGGGTAATTATCTGGGGGGAGTTTTTTGGGGAGTTCTGGCAATTACATGTTAACCTGAAAATCACTGTTTCTTTCACCAATCTAGCTTCTGACAGTTCTGAAAACAAGAATGTGCCAGAGAGCGCTATCCACTATTCTAGTGAGTGTTCCTGCTTTATCGTTCAGCTTTTGAGTTTTCAGTTGATAAGTTTGACTTTGAATGAGGAACTGGAGTAGCAGAGAAATGAACCTGGCAGTTTTATTTCTAACCATACCAGACGTAGACCCTATTACAAACCTAATTTAACTGCCTGTTATAAAACTCCTCTCAAAGAGATACGGAGCTTAACAAGTTGCCACCACTCTCACTGGAGAGCACACAATTATTCCCCAGGACTGGAGTGAAAGTCATAAAACTGAAAAAAAAAAAGTGAACAGTCATCCCCCGTGGGAGAAGACACAAGAAAACATATGAAAATGCTGTTCATATACTGTTATGAGTACATATTATGTGAATATATTGTTATGAATATATTATATTAGTATATTGTTCATATTGTCATGGGAGAGAAGAACTAGGAGGGAGGCTTCTGCAAACTTGATATTTTCATGATGCATGTTACTTAATCTTTTATTTTAATATTATGCATCTCTAGGGCAAGAGTGTTGCTGCAGATATGCTATTTCCTACCCAAAGTACTGGCTTAGCAAAATGTTTGATGTTTTTCCACTGTAAACTTGTCTCCAGGTTCTCCCTCTAGTCCCATAGATGCACACACATGTCTGTGTGAATATTAAATATTAATTGCATCAAGAGCCATCAAAGATGCTATTTCTAAATAGCAGGCGTGCATGATGGCTGATGCTGAGGAAGGCTGCGGGAATGCAGCCGCAGCCTCCCCCAGCACAGGGCTTAGCCCAGCAGGGGAGAGAAAGCACCTGCTAAATTTGAATGTGGCCAATGGCTGCCAGAAAAAAGATAAATGGGGAGAAACTGGGCTTATATATTTCCCTGGGAAAGCTTCTCTTTGTTACATAATTCTTTCCTTTTTGCTTCTTGGCTGGGAAATACCTGTCAGGAAATGGCAGATGGTGGGAAATAATAAAAGGAAAGAAATGTCCTCATTTAAAAAGGAGATCTTGCATTTTCTATCCCTGGTTGTAAGTGCTGTGGGGAATGTTACTGAGTTATGTAACTCCTTGGTGTCTTTCTGGGCGTGCAATGTTAAAAGAGAAATAATCACTTCAGTTGCTGAATTTCAGATGACTCTTGTTTTCAAAAAAGGGGAAAAAAATTGCATGTATCAAAAATTTATTCCTGAAGCACGGATGTTTTGCAAAACCTTTGGGGCCCATCAACACTGGGGGTGAATCATGACTATTTTGGTCAAGATTGTGGTGGGCTCAGTTGGGCAGGTGCTAAAACCTCACCCTCCTACAGAAAAATGTGTGAAACTGGCTCCACAGGGCAATGCAGGTGCCAGGGAAGGACTAAGGGTAGTGGAAGGAAGGTGTCTAAATCCTCCCTCCACAAAGGCTGCGAGCCTGAAGCTTGGCGGGTGCGGGAGGAATGACAGGAGCAGCAGGTTACCCCACTCCAGAGAAATCAGCAATGGTTGGTGATGTGGAGCCGGACGTGCCTCCCGCTTTTGTGCATGGGAGTGTCTGTACACAGCAGCAGTGCAAGCCAAGGGCAGCAGGCAAAATGATGTTCTCCCTCTTTTGCAGGCGTTATCTTGCCAATTGTCATCACCTTGATAGTCATTACCCTTTCTGTCTTCTCACTCGTGGCTTTGTACAGAATGTGCCAGAAGAAAACTCCAGGTACTTGGTTTACTTCCTCTGTGGAAGGAAAAAGATCAATATGCTTTTTATTATGAAAATATCTCTGGGGTCTTTTTAGATTACCTTAACCATAGATGTTGCAGTAGTCGGATAGGAAAGCTTCTTGTATTTCAAAGTGTTTTGCCTAAAGTGGGAAAGTAACACTTCATTTTCAAAATCAGTAGGAAGAACAGAGGGAGCAAAAATGTCTGTGATTTCTAGAGAATATATAATGCCATAAAGCTTTTTGTTCGTGCTTTTGCAGCTACAAAGAGCTAGCAAACAGCTGTGCTAACACAATCAGTCAATCAGGTGAAAAATGCAATGAAAACTAAGTTTGGGGATATTGTTAAACGAAATCACTATATTTATTCTACCTCTGCTCTAAATACAGGCAAAGAAATATCAATGCTTTCTTTTAGGAAATCCCTGATATCTACACACATACATTACATATAAGTAAAATTTTCCAGTTACGGTATAATGTAAATGGGAACAAAATCCTCAAGCAAACAATATTTTCAGAAACAGTAATTTTGACAGCCCAGCTAAAGCCCGTATCTGTTTTGCTGCTGTCCATGAAATACTTAAGATAATGAGGTATAATTCCATTAAATTCCATTTGCCGAATGTTTCAAAGACTTGTCTGAGTGGGCCAAAGGCAGGTGTAATTCTCTATTAAGTGAAAACCAGGATCTGAATTCAGACTGTGCTTTTTCTCTCCCTGCGAGCTGGCATGAGTTAGGAGACCTGTTTAGAGCTTCAACTGTGATATCACCAGGCCTTGGAAATACAAGATCATAGCAGGGTGTTGAAGCTGTAGACCAAGGCAAACAGTGTGTCATAACCAATTTAGCCAATGACATGGAAAACCAGACCCAAATAAACAGAGGAAGATGTGATCCTTGCTTAGGAAATTACTGAATATTTGGAGTCAAGAGGTAAAGGTGTGAGGTGAAGAACATTTCCTCGCCAGCCTCCCCCATGCACAAACGTCTGCAGGCACAGTACTAGCAAATTCACTTGGAAGCTAGAGTAGAAGGATATCTCTGGTGCTTCGTGCAGGATTTGTTCGGATGTATCCAGTGGGCTTCCCCCATGGACAGAGCGCCCTGTGCCCAGTGCCATGGGCTAGAATTGGCTTTGTGTCTCTGGTATAACCCCTTGGCCCCGTCCATCTGCCCGCACTTGCACATCAGAATAGAATATGTTCAGTATATGACTAATTTTGGGGAGAAACCCGTTCCTCATTGGCAGGGATGACAGACCCTCTTCTCATATCTTAAACTCCCCAGAGCGTACAGCCTGGCGGTTTGTTCCCTCACTCCCCTCAGCCTGTGTCTTTTAGCTCAGTTGTTACGTACTCAAGGACTGTTGCATGCTCACCTCTGTGCCAGCTACCCAGGGATTGGGGAGCTGCAGGGGAAAATGTGTTTCTGTTGTGCTCTTGCACAAGTCACTTATCAGTCTCCCTAGTTTCCAGAAGTCTCGATTCGAGCAATGTCAGTTTACTTCCATAGATGACATGGGAAGATGAACTAGAAAAGCACCAATTACCATTCGAGCGGGTTGATTGTGTTAATGTACTTAATGCAATACTGCAAAATCACAACTGAGCTTTCTGCTAGCAACATGTCTAAATGTTTACTTATCTGAGTTCCAGCAGTCAAAATGATATTAACTTTGTTCCTTCTTCCAGAGAGACAAGAGAACGGCACTGAACAGTAGGTTGAATCCTGTCTTTTCATTGCTTTGAGATATAGATTCACAAGTGGGGCACTTGTGAATGCAGCAGATTCTTCATGAGACTTTCTCTGATCTTCCTCTGTTTAAACATAATAAACGCTTGCTGCCCCTTAGCGAACTATCCTGTTGAAAATGACGCACTTGCAGTTACTGTACACCTGTATGCATGATAAGCAGCTGTTCCAGCATGGATAGCAATGTGATGGCTCTCAAGTGTTTTGCAGGGCATCCTTTTGAAATGGAGAAATGGCTTATGCTGTACCACAGGGCCAATTTGCCCAGTCTTTTTTTTTTTATTTTCTTCGAATTTTGCCCCACTGATTGGGGTTTTTTCCCCCGCTATTCTTTCCCATCCCCCTTCTTTTGTTCATGTTTTCTCCCTTTTTAATGTTCTTTATTCTGGATTCTTTTTCTCATGTCCCCCATTATTTAATTATCCTCTGTCCCATCTTCTCTCCACTAGTCCATTTGCAGGGCCTCAGTTAAAACAGTATTGGCATAAGGAGTTGCAGGAGGGTGAAGCCGAGAAAGATCCATTAGAAAATGCGTATTAGAGGCCATTGAGTCTGGCTGTGGCCTTCGTTCTGCATGAACAAAAGCAGCAGCTGATTTACTTGCTAGCCCTGACTCCCTGGACATAGGAAGAGGTCCTTCTTGCAATTCAACATGGCTAAAAGCCTTGTATTGACACAGAAAAAAAAGGTGACTCCCTCTTTTCCCTCGGATGTACTTTTGGAGCACTAAATTGACTCTATAGTCATGCAACTTGACTTATTACATATTTTAAGAGAAAGGCGTTTTCAGAGATATTGGTATATGATCCCATGCAAAGCCCATTTCAAGCTCACCAGTGTAGACTGGCATAGGTGCTGCGTCCTCTGGATCATAATCTGAGAGTTTTGTTTGACTGACCAACATGCATGCTGAGCTGCATGCTGACTGCCTGCTTAAATGTTTTCTGACTTCAACAGGGTCCAATCAGATAAAGAAGGAGTCAAACTTCTTTCTGTGAAGACAACTTCTGCTGAGACTGGTGAGTGTTTCTTCTGTGTATGTCTGTCTCTCTGAGCCCAGAGAAGAGCAGTCTGGAGATGACATTTCCAATAGTAAAACCATCTTCTGTTCTTGTCAGGTCAAAGTCAGTGCAAAAAAATCCCTCTACAGTGCAAATTCCCAGACTGGGGGCCTGTAGAGCTGCAGTGCAGCTGCACTGTGTGAGGTACCAGTATTTGGAAGTGAGAAGTATGACTGGTTTAGGGAAAATAAATGTTTAACATAGTTGATGGTAATTGATCTACAGCTAGGCATGTTCAGGAGTAACCACGATCATGGTATTTATCAGCTAGATCTGGCTATGCAAAGAAGTTTAAGGACTGGTAATAGCCCAGGGGCCAATAGGTTTGGGAGTCAGTGCTGTATGTAAACAGGGCTCTGCTGGAGTTGGTGTCAGCAGTGGTAATTCAGCCTTGTACCCAGCCACCCTTTGCGTTCAAAATCCTACTCTCACTGCAAATTCCTCTGTTCTGTGCCTCATTGATCCAGTTTCTTGTGAAGTATGTGCATAATAAAACCTAAAGGAACATAGGTTAGAGATATTATGCACAGAAAAAGCAAATCTCATCAATATAAGCCAAGAGACGGATGCAGTTATAAGTTCTGCAAGAAATAGAGTAGCACAAATAAGACTGAGGCAGAACAAAATTCTGTCTAATCTGATTCCCAGCTATTCAACAATAACAACAAGAAGAAACCTCTCATGGTACAGGTACTCGTGGTCAAACTTCCTCTCTTCATCCACTGCAGCTCGCTTCCTCAGCTGTGTAGGTCTCACCTTTGCTCCTGTCTCAGCTGTAGAAGTCCTTCAGGAAGAATAGCCTCTGACTTTATGTTTTTTAGGTATAAAACCCTTTTATTTTTAAGACTTCTGGCCGTCTCTTTCCCCTGCTGGCATTTCAGAGGTTCCCCAATAGCTGCTCTCCCCTTTCCTCTAAATTCTCAAGAAGTTCTCTGAAACACAGCACTTGATCTGAACTATCCTCCACTTGCTGTCAGGGCACAGTTTGCACTTTTCAGCCTCCTCTGCAATTCCCAGAAGCTTTTGCGCAATCCAAAAGACCCACGGGGCAGCTCTGGCAGTTCTTGCAGCAAACAGCGGTTGTGCAAGGTCCCTGCAGCCCCGCAGGCACAGGGCAGCACACTAGCAGGCTAGTGGGGATGGAGAAACACGCTCCGTGGCAGGCTGCATGATTCTGCCTACTGCTGCTGAGCAAGTGCAAACTACGCTTTGGCACTCAAGCGACTGCACTTCAGAGCTCTGTGATTTGGGATTTTTTTGTATTCTTTTGTTTAGTATACGTCTTTCGAAACGGACTTTTAACTTTATTTTAAGGGGGAGGTAGTTATGTGGATGTTTACATTTAAAACCATAGTATTTTTTTTTTGAAAGCTGAATAAAGTCAGAAACTGGACTTCATAGACATTTTTTGATGGGTTCTGCCCCCATAACACTTTCAACAATAAAGGAACTTCATTGGCAGCAGCAGAATTATTTGTGTTTTACAGCAGGGTAAATGAGAAAATACTCAGGCTCACTTTTTTTTTTTTTCTCACAAGATGAGGTCTGGTGTCAGTTAATCAGCTACTGGTTCCCCATGTATCTGAATTTCTTCCATCCAAAGGATGCTTGATATTCTTTTTTACTGAAGTATGATGTATGCATGCTATAATCGGAAGGTATGAGTCATAACCACTTAGAAGACAAGATTCTTGCCCTCTTCTCATTAATACAATTCATATTTAAACTAGCTACCATTTTCTCTTGAATTTTTACATCTTTATATGTTTCAAAATTAAACATGCTTTCACAGAAATGGAAGTCCCCTCTTTCCCCAGGTTTTTAGAGACAATACTTCTTAAATTGATGAGGACAAGGCTGAAGTACTT